TGTGTCATCAACACTGTTTTCAGCACAAAGCTGAAATACAGCCCCATGCAAGCTACTGTGAAGAAATTTAACTCTATCTCAGCCAAAATCAGTAAAGTGTCAAGCCCACTGCATCCTTATTACAATATATTGAAGTACACCAATGAAAACATGAACTGTTTCTTTCCTTATTTCAGTTTTTCATCTGTAAAGTGAAAACCATAGCATTTCAGTACTCCTTAGTGAGCTTTCCATTGGAATATTACATTTTGCAAGGTGTGTAGCTCCTCTAATACAGTGATTTGTCTACACACATTGTTCAGTTTTAAAGCATTGATCTGAAGGCGATTGCTTTGAAACAATGTTCAGAAAATCCTTCAAATGCACTGTGAAGAGGATTCCCACCCAGTTGTTACGATTTTTTATAGCCACTAATAATGATGTAGTGAGATAACCTGAAACAAATAATCAATTATCTATTCAACATGGGTACCAAGTGTTCTTAGGGAAGTAGAGAACACAGACAAGTATTAGACAAACACAAACCTTCTGAGAGTGCACGTACTCTCTTGTATCTAAAGGTTTATTTCTGGAAGCTTTCTTAATGAAGACTTCTAAATTCAAGCCTTTAGAGTATTGTAAATAAATCACCTCCCAGAAGTAACGTACATAAGACTAGGAGTGCAATCTTTGCTCTTGAGAACCTTACCATCCCCCTTCATCTTACCCTCTGCCTCTGGGAGCTGATGAGAGTGTAAGCAAAAGTCAGATAGTCCGGCTGGAGAAGGCATTGATCTACATGAGTCACAAGATTTGAGCATCTTTTCTACTGAGAAGCAACTATTTCATGTAGATTCATTTAAAACCACCCTCCAAAACAAAGACCACTTCACATAGTCTACTATAACTGCGATGCTTCTGTGCTGAAAGAAGAATGGCCTCGCACACTTCCTGCTTGATCAACAGAGAGACAGACAATCCAGAGATGTCTTCAGATCTCAGGTGAACCAAAAATCTTACTGATGTGCCCCTTTCACTGGCTATGACAGCATCTCCTGCAGCTTCAGTCTTAGTCGTGGTTTCTGTCGGCTGGTTTAAAAAAGCCCTTTACTTAAAGCTGTAGTAATGTGTTAAAAATCAATTCATTGGTTTAAAAAGATTAGGTACATGAGGAGGATTATAAAGTATCTCCTGGAAATCAGAACAAAGCAAACAAAATACCAGCGACTGGGTGGGGATTCATGCCACTCAGCTTTATACATCTGTGTACATCTTCGTAAATACATAGTTAGCTACGATGAGCTGGACTTCCCTTTAGGTCAATGGAGAGAAACAGAAAATCCTGGAGCATGATTTATAACTTCTATGGTAAATATTCTCAAGTGGAAGTGTTTATTGCTAGCCACTGAATTTAAAGGTAATCTAAATTATTAGTTATAATGTAGGCCTCAACACAGTGTGTGTAATCAAGCGTAGGTGAGGTGACACCCGACTTGGGAAAACAAAATGACTAAATATAATTGAAAAGGATTTGCTTGAAATATTCTGTCAATTAAGATTGTTTTGAACACCCTGTGTGAGTATAATAGAGAAAATGTATTTAAGAAAGTTCAACATTTGAACTTCTTCTTCCAAGTACTTTTAAAACCTCAGTTTCTCACCTGAAGAAGTGTTGCCCTTTTTATAACAATAGGCTTTATTTTTACAAGCATCCACCTTTTTCTTCATGCATTTCTTGGCTCATATAATTTTAAAATTGTTTTGCATCAACTGAAGAAGCATTTTCATTTGTTCTTGTGTTGAGGGGAGAGCGTCTTTCTTGGGTTACCTACAGTCTTAGGGTGTGATTTTTCTGCCTAGCTACATCTGAAATAGTTGTTTACACTAACTTGAGAATGAAATGTCTGTTTCTTGGTTGCTTGTAATGCAGACCTTTAAAATAGGTTGGATGAGCTGCACGCAGAGTGTTTCTTTCCACTGAAGAGACTGTAACAGGGTAATTGGTTCATCTGTAAATGAATATACCAGAAAAATCTTTCAGATGTGATACAGCAATCCATTTTCCATTGTTTTCCATCTTTATTTTTCATATTTGTCGTGTTTCATGTATCTTATCATTAATCTTATCCTTCTAATTCCTTCTCCAGGCAAAGTATCTGAAACTCACTGCAGCCTAATTTCTTATTTGAACATTATCTGAAAGAAAACATGGAAAATCACACCAAGGCAACTGAGTTCATTTTGACTGGGTTCAAGTCTTACCCAGGATCACAACTCCTCCTCTCCATTCTCTTCTCAGCAATGTATGTTGTCACTGTGGTAGGAAATGCCTGCATGGTCCTCATCATTAGAATGGACTCCAAGCTGCACACTCCCATGTACTTTTTCCTAGAGAACCTGTCCATCTTGGACATCTGCTATTCTTCTGTCATCACTCCCAAAGCAGCAGTGACATTCTCACTGGGCAGAAGAATAATTTCCTACAATGGCTGCGCATCTCAAATGTTCTTCTTCTCTCTCTTTGGTACAACAGAAGCCTTCTTCCTTGCTGTGATGGCTTATGATCGCTTCAGTGCCATCTGTAATCCACTGCTGTACCAAATCATCATGAATAAAAGACTTTGCATTTTCATGGTGATGGGCTCTTATCTATCAGGCTGCATCAACTGCACAATCCAGACAGGCTTTACATTCAATCTGTCCTTTTGTGGGCCCAAAGAAATAAACCACTTCTTCTGTGATGTTCCTGCAGTGATGCATGTCTCCTGCTCAGACACTCTTGTCAATGAAATGGTAATGCTGGCTGTATGTGGATCAATTACTGTGGGCACTGCCTTGGTGGTTTTTATCTCCTATGGCTATATAATCATCACTATTATCCGAATGCCTTCAGCTGAGAGCAGGCGCAAAGCCTTCTCCACTTGCTCTTCTCACATGCTGTCTGTCACCTTGTTCTTTGGGGCTGTTTTCTTCATGTATGCTCAGCCTGGGGCCACATCTTCACCTGACAAAAGCAACACCATCTCTATACTCTATACTATTGTTATTCCCATGCTAAACCCTTTCATCTACACCCTCCGAAACCAGGAGGTAAAAGAGTCTCTGAAAAGACTGTTAAAAAGGAAAGGTTTTCTTTAGTATCTTTACTAAAGATAATGATGACCATAGTGTCCAATTCACTACAGACAGAGAGATGTTTAGAATGTAAAACAAGCGACATCAGGGCTTGCTTTAAACAGTCTTTTGTGATTATAGATGATCGGTGTAACAGATGAATGCAGGAGGTATAAAAGAAATCTAGGATAATCAGATCAGATGAAGGTCAGGATTCATTTGATCAGATGTAGATATTTACAATCCATCTTAACCATAATATAGAATCCTTTTGTAACTATTCAAAAGGCACAAGCATTTTAAAGCCGTAATTAATCCGTAACTAAACTCCAACTCTGGTAGTGCCTTACTCTATGCATTGGAACACAGCTAGTTCGGGTGGAGATATTCTCACTGTAAACATACAAAGACAAATTAAAGTGAACTGAATGATTTCTCTGCCTGGGACTCCTCAGGTTTAAACCATTATTTTTTTTTCCTCAATTTTGCTTTTAAGCACTTCTCTTAGAAATGAGTGGAACCACTGAAATCCAAGTTCCAACCATCAAGCATTGATGGGCAATTGAAATCTTGTGGCTGAAGTGCTCTCCTCTGGGTCCATGTGTTTGTGTGCATTGCATGAGTGTTTTCAGTAGGATGGAAGCTATTTCTCTGTGATAAATAAGCTGGCAGCATCACAATCTGACATAGTCTGAAGATAATATGGGTAAGTTCAGCTTAATGGCTGTTTGCAGTGGTAAAAATGTGCGTTTCAAAAATACCAACTTAAACTTCTGTATCACGGGTCTGAAGCCCGATTTCTGGAGTATCAGGTGAGCACCATCTTACCAGAGGCCCACTCAGTTCTCATTAGATTACAATGTAAGTTAAATGCCAGGGGTGACAAGAAATCCTTTCAGAGAAAGTAATTCTTGAAAATAATTGTTAACTGCTTGAAAGAAATAATACCACTATAAAATAAATCAATCACTATCCATAGTTACCTCTTTCTCTCTTATCTATACCATAAACTCAAATGCAGATGCCTATATTCCCATGCATACAAAGCCATCCTAAACTGGTGGAGAAAATACCAGAGGAATATCCCTCTGTGTTGACCATAAGCATTTCACTGACCATGTACCATAGGTGTTTCTATGAGTTTTTTCTGTTGTAACTTCAGTGCCTACCGGTCTTCCAAACGATCTAAACTAGTATGTAAAGACATTGGGATGGAATGCGGCTTCACTGTAAGGTATGTATGTTCAGGTCCAGTGGAGGTCTCTACACCTGAAGGTTAGTATTTTCTAGCAAGCTATTTTTCACCCTGCTATAGGCAAGTCTCAGCCAGGGGTAACTACCACTACATTTGGTAGCTAAAAACCAGTGTTACACACTTGACCTAGGCACCAGAAATGCCCCTGATGTCGCTGAGCTTAATAATACAGAGAGAACTTGCACACACAAATCATAAATGATACTTCAGTGAAAAGTATGAGATTTGTACTTTCAGCTAGCTCATTTTTCTCTGATTCTCAGCCAAACACTGAGCTGTTGGTCTAAACCCAACAATGTTTACTATTACCCGGCCCATTACAAACCATAGCGCTGTGAAGGGGAAGAGGAGGCCCCGCCACGGGTTGGTACCACCCCCTGCTCTTCAAAGGACTCGAGATAAGGAGCGGACAACACAGGCAGCTTCGTGGCAAGCAAAGGCTTCCCAGCTGCCTGCAGGTGGGCAGCGTTTCCCTCCCACCCCTTTCCGCCCCATCTCGGAAGAGCCCCCTAAAGCCCCGCGGCACAGCGACACCCTCGGCTCGGGCACGGCCCTGCGCGCCGGCACTGCAGGGGTTAACGCTATAGGGCGCGCTGGCCCTTTAAGCGCGGAAGGGAGGGGGCGAGGCGCATGCGCGGTTAGCGAGCACGCACTTCGGGCAGCCATGCGGGTACTGGTGGGTGAGTGCGGGAGGGGCTGGGCTGGGCTGCGGGCGCTGCGGGCAGGGGTTGGAGCACCCCGGAGTGAGGACACGGTGCGTGGTGCCCGGGCACGGGGATTGGGATTGGGTTGGGGTTGGGGTTAGGGTTAGGGTTAGCAGCGCCCTACAGCACGGGGAGTGGGTTAGGGTTACGGTTAGGGTTAGCAGCGCCCTACAGCACGGGGATTGGGTAGGGTTAGGGTTAGGGTTAGGGTTAGGGTTAGGGTTAGCAGCGCCCTATAGCACGGGGAGTGGGTTGGGGTTAGGGTTAGGTTTAGGGTTAGCAGCGCCCTATAGCACGGGGAGTGGGTTAGGGTGTGGGTTAGGGTTACGGTTAGCAGCGCCCTACAGCACAGGGATTGGGTTGAGGTTACGGTTAGCAGCGCCCTACAGCATGGGGTGTGGGTTGGGGTTAGGGTTAGGGTTAGGTTTAGGGTTAGCAGCGCCCTACGGCATGGGGAGTGGGTTGGGGTTAGGGTTAGGTTTAGGGTTAGCAGCGCCCTACGGCATGGGGAGTGGGTTGGGGTTAGGGTTAGGTTTAGGGTTAGCAGCGCCCTACAGCATGGGGAGTGGGTTGGGGTTAGGGTTAGGTTTAGGGTTAGCAGCGCCCTACAGCACGGGGATTGGGTTGGGGTTAGGGTTAGGGTTAGCAGCGCCCTACAGCACGGGGAGTGGGTTGGGGTTAGGGTTACGGTTAGGGTTAGCAGCGCCCTACAGCACGGGGAGTGGGTTGGGGTTAGGGTTAGGTTTAGGGTTAGCAGCGCCCTACAGCACGGGGAGTGGGTTGGGGTTAGGGTTAGGTTTAGGGTTAGCAGCGCCCTACAGCATGGGGAGTGGGTTAGGGTGTGGGTTACGGTTAGGGTTAGCAGCGCCCTACAGCATGGGGAGTGGGTTAGGGTGTGGGTTACGGTTAGGGTTAGCAGCGCCCTACAGCACGGGGAGTGGGTTAGGGTGTGGGTTACGGTTAGCAGCGAGCAGGGTGCTCTGGGTGCGGGCTTTGGGGTGCAGGTCTGGGACGCCCTGTCTGTCTCCTAGGTGGGGGGACCGGCTTCGTGGGCACAGCCCTGACCCAGCTGCTGCGGAGCCGCGGCCATGAAGTGACCCACGTCTCTCGGCAGGCGGGCAAGGATCGGATCAGCTGGGTATGGGAGCGGGGCGCTCACAGGAGGGAGGATGTGGCGGGGCTGAGGAGCCAGCCCGCTTGGCCTGGCCTGCTGTGGCGTACGGGGGCTCTGCAGTGGGGAGTCTAGGTCCTGTGGATGTTCTCTTGGCCTCCTGGGTGCTCCATGGCTTCTAGGCACTGGGATGGGTTCTCTGGAGCTCCAGGGGGCAAAACCATCTCCATTCATGTGCTCCAGGCAGTGTCATGAGGGAACCGGCTGGAGTTCTTGGGAGTCTGCACTGCTTGGTTGTTGGGAAGCCTTGAGCAGAGGGGAGGCTGCTGTGTGATGTCCCTGTTATCCCTGCCTAGGAGCAGCTGTCCCAGTCTGGATTGCCCCAGTGCGATGCTGTGGTGAACTTGGCTGGTGAAAATGTCCTCAACCCTTTCCGCAGGTACCTTGGTGTCCCATGGTGCTGTTCCAAAGTGAAGGCAAGACAGGCCAGTGCTGACAGTGATGTGGAAGGGATTTGGGGAGGAAACGGTCCAGGAAGCACTGGGGTTATTACCTTAACAATTGACATTTGGGTTCTCAAGTATCCAAAAGATTTCTGTGGGCCTGTTGAGTCCTGGGAGACCTTTGGAAGACATATTGGAGGCTTGGCAAAGTAGCTTTGTGTAAACGTAGGCATCCGGTGTAATTTTGGATAGATAATGTAAAGTTAGAACCAAAGGTTTACTTCTGTGAGGGTGGGTTTGGAAATGCCTTCACCAGGCACTTGGGAAGAATTCACATCACCCAACTTTGGTGTCCAGCTTGTCTGCTGCCTTTATCCTAAGGCAGTCCAAACCTACGGCCTTTTGTTGGAAGTGAGGGGCCACCATCCCCCAAAGTCCCCATGTCCTTAGGTAATAAGATCCCGCCCGTGTCCTCCCCCTGCTTTGGAGCGTGGGGGAGTTCTTATGACCTCTTCCATGCTTGTCAATGGGGGTCCGGTGGGAGCCCCTTGGTGCTGTTTCCTGGGATGCCTCGTGGGGATTGTAATCGGTGGCTCTCCCTTTCCCAGATGGGGCGATGCCTTCTGCAGGGAGATCATCAGAAGCCGCGTTGAGACCACCAAGACCTTGGCCAAAGCCATTGCTGATGCTGAGCAGCCACCCCATGCTTGGGTCGTCGTCACCGGCGTAGGTATTGGTTGGGCCCGGCTGAGGCATGGCTCGTGCTGACCTGAAGAGGCAAACCTCCAGACAGAAACACACTTCTGAGGGCATCAGTCTTGCCTTGAAATGCTGGCTTCATTGCCAACACATGTCGTTGTGTTTCAGAAACCCTTGGTCAGCTTTTTCCTACTCCGGGATAGGAATTTGTGTCCCTATGCTTCCTTTCGCTGTTACCTAAGCAGGGCCTCAGCTGAATCCCCCTGTGTATCTCTTTGCATTTCTGCTTGCTACAGTCTTTAAAACTGCCACAGTGATGCCCAGTTTTTAGATGCACCTTTTCTATTCAGACTGATCAGTGTGTTGCTGCTGTATTTGGTTCTTAGGCCTACCAGCACAACCTGAGTATTGGTGCATCCCTCTGAACTTGCAGACCGCATTTGTTACTTCAAAAACTGTCTCTGCCATCAGAGGGACCCTGTGCTGTTCACATGGGATGTCTGTGATGGAGTGATCAAGTTCTGGGCTCTTGGACGCAGGGAGGAAGTTGGGGAAGGGGGTGGTGGCTGATTGAGTCCTGACCCCCTTACTGCTCTTACACCCACAGGCTATTACCGCCCTAGCCCCACAGCGGAATATACTGAGGACAGTCCTGGGGGGGACTTTGACTTCTTTTCACGCCTGGTGAGCTCCTGGGAGGCTGCAGCTCTCATCCCTGGGAGCCCAGCTCGTGGTGTTGTGGTGAGATCTGGTGAGATGGAGCATCATGCCTGTTCAAGGTGGCTCTGCTTTGGTGCTGGGGCAGGAGAGGGAAGAGGAGGGAGAAGGTCTTGTGCCTCACCTCACTGGGGTGCTGTTCCAGTCCAGCCCTCTAAGGACTGTATCTTTTGCAGGTTGGGGGGTGAAGGGAGCTTTTGTCCTTTGGGAGGCTCGGGGTGGGGGAGTTGTGGTCTCACTCTGTTCTCTTCACAGGAGTAGTGCTGGGCCAAGGTGGTGGTGCAATCTCTCAAATGATCTGGCCCTTCCGCCTTGGACTAGGAGGCCCAGTGGGCTCTGGGCTCCAGCCCTTCCCCTGGATCCACATTCGGGACCTGGCTGGGATTGTGTGTCATGCCCTGGAGACTGAGGGTCTCCGAGGTGTCTTCAACGGTGTGTCTCCATCCTCCCCTGCCACCTCCAATGGCACCTTTGCTCGGGAGCTTGCTGCTGCCCTGGGGCGCCCAGCGCTGCTGCCCATGCCTGCTTGGGCTGTGCGGGCTGTCTTTGGTGCAGAGCGGGCTGTGATGCTGCTGGAAGGCCAGAAAGTGGTGCCAAAACACACCCTGGAGAGTGGCTACAGCTTCATCTTCCCAGATCTACCAGGAGCACTGAAGGACATCGTGTCTTGAGGACTCCTCGGTTGGGCTGGGTTGGGCCCTGTTTCTGTGAGCAGCCTGGCTCATGTGCCTTCCCCTGGGTGAAAGAGGCAAGCCCTGCCCCTTGTTGACACTTCCCTACTACTGTACAAAGATGAGCAATCTGTTCCCTTTCTGTCTCCCTTTGTGCATCCCCAGTTTAGGAGTCATCCCTCTTACTGTCATCTGCAGTCTCCACAGGACCTGCTTTTGGGCAGGGGAATGAGCCCCTCTGAGGGTTGTGACTGCTGAATCTGATCTGCCATCTTCCCTTTTCCCCTCATGCTGATCCCTCAGTGGCTGGCACTTAGTCCTTGCAGCACAAATACATGGGATAGAGTGAGGTTACACAGCATTATGAAAAGGTTTTGTAAGAAGACAGGACACACTGTGGTGATAAAATGCTGAGTTCAGCCAGGCCAGTACTGACTGGCCCTGGTTTACACCCAACCCACCTCTTTTATACCCCTTTTCTGTCTACCTCCTCTTTGTTGCTCCCAGTTTCTCCTCCCCTGCACGTTCCCTCCACAGGTAATGTGGTCCCACTAACTCCATCCAACATCCTGGGCACTCAGGTTTGCATCCTTACCAGTTGCTAACTCCTTGTTGTCTATAGCTTCTGGAGAGCTCATCAGCAGAGCAATCAGGTGGTCAGGCCCAGGCAGCATGGGTTTATGAAAGGCAGTTTCTGCTCACGAAGCCTGATCTCCTGTGGCAAAACAACCTGCTCAGTGGAGGAGGGAAAGGCTGTGGATGTTGTCTACCTTGTCTTCAGTCCATGACCCAGTTGTGTAGCCCCATCTCTCCTAAATGGAGAGAATTGGTGTCTCAGCCACCAGAGCTTAGGATGTCTCCAGCTACTGTCCACCTCTGGTCCCTCCAGTAACCAATGCTTCCAGTTATCATGCACACAGCTGGTATAGAGCTCTCTTCACTTACTCAGCTGCCTGGATAGTTGCTTACACATTTATACAACCTTGCTTGCTCGGTGTGCTCGCACCACAGACACGGGCCTTGTGTCTCCAGTTACTGCACTCAGGCCCCCACACACATGCACACAGAATACAGTGTTCACCCAGGACGATAGTTAGCAATGAAGTTTAATAAGACAGAAGAGACTGCGCTAAGCAAAGGGCAGGGCCAGACAACTGCACTAACCAGGACGTGGTTCTTCCCATGAATATCCTGTAATAAATCTTGTACAATCCTGAGATGCTTTTCACCTTCATTCCATGTGTCTAGGCCGTTATGCCCATAGGCAGTAACTGTCTCAGATGACCCAGAAAGCTACTGCCACTGATTGACCAGAATGGGTATCACCCTAATAGCATGGGGCTGATTGCTCTGCTGCTACTGCCCTAGGAAGAGCTGATTTAGGGTGTCTTGTTTCTCTGGTCAAGTTAGTGTAGTTTCTCTACGTGTTGCTGGGCCTCTGTGTTCACCTCTGTGTGTGGAGACCAGCTTTTTATTGTATAACCAACAAGATGCACTTAGCAAAGGAGCAGAGAAGAGCCTGAACCCAGCAGGGCTGTTAAACATTTTGTATAATCACTTCTCTGAAGGCTTTACTGATAAGGCCATCCTGTAGCAATAACAACTTACATTTCAGAGGACAGCTGAATACAAGATCCAGGACAGTAGCTTTGTAGACAGGAAAGGTATTATTTCCATTTTCTAATCCTGCAAAGGGGAGAAGTGACTACCATGAGTGCTCCGTCTGGTTACTGAGCTTGGGAACTGCTCAGGCTTCTCTGGGATGTAGAGAAAGGTGTAAAGAAAAGCTGGGAGTTTTGTGCATATACACTTTGACAGGGGCACCTCCACCATGACATGAGGATGACATGAGGGACAGTTTGGTGACAGATCACCAGCTGGAAAAGGGGCTATTCACCAACCCCCTCTGGGTGGTCAGCCGGACCCAACCCAACTCCCACACAACTTGCCTAGACTGTAAGGTATTGGTTTCTCTAGGAGGAGGCTGTGGGAAACTATTGAACCCAGGTAGACAATGTCCATTCCCAGCCTGCATCAACTGAACAGGTTACTCTGTTGTAGAAGGTGATGAGGTTTGTCAAGCACGATTTGCTCCTGGGGAATCTGTGCTGGGGTTTTCCAGTCACGTGCTTGGTTTGACTTGTGATAGCCTCCAGGAGGGTTTGCTCCATTATCTTTGCTCCACCATCATCCAGGATGATTCACTCCATCATCATCTGATGTAAGACTGATGGCCCTATAATTTTCTGGATCCTCCTTGAGCCTGTCTTGGGGTGATGGGGGTGATATTAGCCACCTTCTAGTGTTTCATAATGTCCCTTGATCTCCATGACTTCTCCAAGATGATGGAGTGTGCCCTCTGTTGTTGCTGGTAGTGTCTGATGGGACAGCCCTACAGCAGTTATGAAAAAGGTTTATTCTAATGCATTCATTATTTTGGATGTCTCTTTCTTCTTGGAACACAGTCTGAAGCACCTTTAAAAAAGACATGAATTTAAAAGCTTCAAGCATTTGAAATGTAATGTCAAAGTGATTCAGTGTTATTCTATTAGAGTAATTAAGTATTGTATTAAGTAATATGTATAGTCTATATAGAGTATTGTATTAGAGTAATTAAGCTTTTTTGTATAGAGAGGTTTCTTCCAGTCTTGTCTTTACAAGGAATAAAATGAGAAAATCAATTCTCTGGCTCTTCTCACAGAGTTCAAAGTAGATCAGCTCCCAGAAGCAAAGTCATTAGAAGCTTAAGTGAAGTTTCCTTAACTCTGGTTCTCCTGTGTTTTAATTATGAAGTTCCAGTAACCCACAGGCAAGTTAAGTTCCCTGGAGGGGGCAAAACAAACAATACATTGAAGATGTAAAAAACCACTTAGCCATTAAGCAGCTGTTGTAAAGTTTCTGAAGTGAGGCAGTGAATTTACCCTGCGATGGCTCCCGCTGCCTGTCCCTTGAGCAAGCAATGCAAAGATCAGCATAACCATATTGATAGGGAAGGTTTCTTTTGCTTGATCTCAATATGGAAACTGTGGTTTTAATGTTGCAGGATTAGGCCCAAATTGGTTGTATTGGGATACAATTATGACTGAACGACATAGATAAGGAATTCCTGGTTTCAAAAGAGACAAGTCACTCAGCATTAGAGATGGTAACAGGAATGAAGATGGTGAAAAGCCAGCAGGATCCCTCTACTCCTGGAAACAACGTGATTTAGTGTTAACGTGGTGTAACTTGCTCTGGACTCTACAGACTGTATAGATGGGAACTGCACATAATGTAAAGGGATCCAAGTTTCCTCCGACACTTCTCCAGAAAGAGTTTCTCTTCTGCAATTGTCTTTGCTGGAAGTTCAGATATTTCAATAATGATAAGTTACACGAGTTACAAAGCAAAAAGATGACCATTTTGCAGGGAGTTAAGCGATTCCTATTCCTTCTGAGAACAGAACCCTCGAAATAAGTCTCCTGATGGCCTTTTTCATTTCAGTATTTCTCAGGGTGTAGACCATGGGATTCAGCACTGGAACAACCACAGTGAAGAAGATGGAGACCACTTTGTCCAGTGCAAATGTCTTGAAGGGCCGAGCATAGATGAATATCCCTGGAATGAATGTTATACCTATTGCCATTATCTGCGCTATGCAGGTAGAAAAAGCTTTGTGCTTTCCTCTGGTGACCTGCCTCCTTATCTTGACTAAAATGACAGTGTATGAAGTAAGCAGCAAGACAAAAATTATTATGAGGAGTAGGCCACCATTTGAGACCATCAGCAGCTCTATCAGGTAGGTGTCAATGCAGGCCACTTTCAGTACTTGTGGGACATCACAGTGGAAATTGTCCAGAGTGTTAGGACCACAATAAGGTAAAGGGAGAAGCAGAGTAATCTGTGTTGCAGAGTGAATGAATCCTCCTGCCCATGACCCTGCCACTAGACCTAAACACACTGCACGGTTCATTACAGTCAGGTACTGCAAGGGCTTAACAATAGCCACATAGCGATCAGCTGCCATCACTGCAAGAAGAAAGATATGAGCACCACCAATGAAATGGAACAAAAACATGTGAAGCATGCACGCCTTGAGTGGAACAGATCTGGGCTGGGAGAGGAGACTTGACAACAGAATGGGAGTAGTGACTGATGATTCAGCAATATCTGTGAATGCTAAGTTGGCCAGGAAGAAGTACATCGGTGTGCGCAGGTGGTAGTCAGTGATAACAGTGGTGAGGATGGTGATGTTTTCCAAGCAGGTCATCAGATAGACAAGGCAGAAGACTGTGAAGAGGAATTGCTGAATTTTAAGACTGTTGTTAAAACCCAGGAGAACAAATTCCGTTACAGGACTGGTTACGTTCTGCATCTCCAGTTACCATCTGAGAGTGCCTGTGAGGAATTTAGAAGGGAGAGTGAAGTTAGCTTTCAACACTAAGAGGGGTCATCTTTGCACTCCTCTGGATCAGAAATCCCCATCCTAGGACCCTCCTTATATCCCCACACTAAACAGTGCAAATTCTGTTCAGCCCAGGTAGTATCAGTGTTGGGAACTGCTTTCTTTCATCTTCAGCTTGGCTTCCCTGAATCTGTACTCTTAAAATCCAGTGTAACTTTACAGTTAGTTGCTCTCCTCATAAACAGACATTTGTTTCCCCAGCAATGCAGGCTTTGGCCCCTCCTCAATGCAACAGTTCTTATCCCTAATATTACTTCATTCCATTCAGGCATCAAGAGCCCCTTATTCCACCCAGGACTGCTTTGCCTGCAGTCTCAGAGTTGCCTGGTTCCTCTTCTCCACAGAGGACTCCAAAGAGGAAATAATAAAGGAATAAAAACCCCAACCAAACCCCAAATCCAAACAAAACCCATTTCTGCATCTTCTCTAAGCGTCAAAGCAGATGTGAGGAGCAAAGTTACTGTGAAAGCTTTCCTGGGTCTGAACAAAAATAGTTTTGTTAATGCCACTAATGGATTCCTGCTCTGGCAAACAGTGTTTACTGGGCTACTCCTCTGTAAGCCAAAGGGAAACAGGGTATACTGCACATTTCTTTGCAGGCATGTCTTACCAGTTGACAGATTCTTTTATGCTATGGACAATAAGCCTTGCTTGCTGCTGCTTGCTTTTGTAGGGGATGAAGTATACAGAGTCAGTTGGTTTGACACACTTTGAGGAATGGCTGGCACGGACAAAGCCTGAATTTGGGACATTGCCTCTTCGTGTGTATGTCCCCTTGCATGGAGAGTCAGTGCTCACTTCAGAGAGGAACCACAGGATAAACTGATCAGGGATTGCCAGAGAATTTGGGCTTGTGCTGTGGTTCTGTCAGTAAAGAATTTAGAGTAGTCTATTCCTCCTTATCCTGTTAGATTTTCGTTTAAAGCAATACACAGGGTATTGCTGTGGCTATCGATACCCTGGAAACAGATGTCGGGAGCAGGAAGAGATGCCTGCTCTGCAATGGAAGGCAAGCCAGGGACTGAGAGTGACAGCAAGGCAGCCAGAAGCAGCCCAGCTCACCAGCAAAGCTCGCCCCACAGTGCACACAAAGAAAGAGCAAAGCAGAATCATTGATAGTAACCAGTTAGCCCAGCGATTGCCAGAGGGAAAAGGATGCCAGCGAACAAGACAATGACACCACTAAGCTCAATGTGAGAAGCAGAGCAAGAGAAGGATAAGCTGCGTGAGACACTCAGGCACATTCAAACACACTTCAGTGATACTTGCCAAAATTACCCTTCCAGTTGAGCCCAGGGGAAGGTGGTTCTCTCCAGCCAGGCTCAGGGCTGGGTTCTTGGGTGGCAGGTTGGCACCCGACAGCTTCTCCTGCCCCACATCTGCACACTGTAGCTGCGTTACCTTCTCAATTTCCTACAGCAGCTACCAGTGCTGCTGCTAATCAGAAAGTCCACAGTGGCATCATTCCAGCACTTTCAGATGTTCTATTGTCACTTGCTGATCCAAGATCATCCACGTTTTATTCGCACCGGGCCGGCACAGCATACCTCCAGCATAGCAAGGGCAAGAAAAAGAAGAGGACGTAAGCTTAAAAGTTTAAGTCCTGAACCAGTTGGCAAATAGCGTCCCCAGATGAGGCTTCCTGCAGGGATTATGTCATAAGGGAATGAATTAAAAAGTTCCTGGTTTTTTTATTCCATAGGTGGTAATCCCACAAGCACAAGAGGCTCAGTAAATGTCCTTCTGTCCTCCATGACCCTGAATACTCCATGTGACTCCCTGCAGTACTATGAGTCCCATGACAGGACCATATCAGTAGTCAACAGGTAAAACCTGGTTGCCATCTCCTGCTCTCCCTCTGCCTCTCCCTCTCTCTCTTCTCATAGAGGAGGTGTTTCAGCCCCCTGATCAGTTCTGTGGCCCTCCTTGGACCAGCTCAAGCAGGTCCATGTGTTCCTTATCCTGGTGGCCCCAGACCTGAATGGAGTACTCCAGCTGGGGTCTCACAAGAGCAGAGTAGAAGGGCAGAATCCCTTCCCTTGACCTTCTGGTCCTTCTCCTTTTGATACAGCCCAGCACATGGCAGGTTTCTGGGTTGCAAGCACACACTGCCAGCTCATGTTGAGTTTTTCATCAACCAACACCTCCAAGTCCTGCTCAGGGCTGCTCTCAATCCATTCATCACCCAGCCTTTGCCCATGGTTGGGATTGCCCCAAGCCAGGCAGAGCACCCTGCTCTTGACCTTGCCGACCTCCGTGAAGTTCACCCCAGCCCACCTCTCCAGCCTGTCAGGGGCCCTCTGGATGGCATCCCTTCCCTCTAGAGTGTCAGCCAGCACTCAGCCTGTCATCATCCGCAGACCTGGTGAGAGTGCCCTCAGTCCTGCTCTCCATGTCCCCAACAAAGATGTCAAATAATATTGGCCCCAGTCTGGACCCCTCATCACTGGTCCCCCCTTGGACATTGAGTCATTAACCACCCAGCCTATGCCTTACCCTCCTGGTCCACAGCTCCCCATTTTAGAGACAAGTATGTTGTGTGGGTCAGTACCAGATGCTTTGCAGAAGTCCAGGTAGATGATGCCCCTTTCCCTTAACCATCAATGTTGTAACCCCATCATAGAAGGCCACCAAATTTGTCAGGCATGATTTTCCCTTAGGGAAGGCATGTCACCAGTCACCTCCTTATTTTCCATGTGCCTTTGCATATTTTCCAGGGGGATGTGCTGCATGACGTTGCTGGACATCAAGGTGAGACTGACTGGTCTGTCGTTCCCCACAGTTGTAATATGAGTTACAAGTTTGGCTCTAAGCAATAATGATCACAAAAATGAACTCATGATTTAGAGCCAAAAGAACCATCAGTGATTCTGTGACTAAATTATCATCTTGATTTTAATTCAGTTGAAATGGTGAACCTTCCTCCTCCTGCTCCTCCTCCTCCTTCTCAAGGAGGAAGGAAGGAAGGAAGGAGACTCAGTGAAATTCCTCGTACAGGTATTTCCTGATAAATGTTCAAAGTATATTTTTAGTACACAGAGGAAAAAAAGAAAGGTAAACTCATCTACAGTGTTGTACATAGGAAAACACATATCCAACAATAGTGCTGACCAAATGAAATGTACTATGTATCTTCAAGGATTAGCATCATTTCTACCATAAGTTCTTATTTGCTGTAAATGCAAAGGATTCAAAGGAGATAAAATAAGAAGAGAACAGTCTTCGTTTAGAGGGATTTATGTTTCGAAACTTGTGCATATTATCTCTTTTTGGCACAGTTTTATAGTTTCATTAATTAATTCCTGGCTAGTGTGGGAAACACGGTGCAAAGAGGGAATCTGACAGTGCCGGTTCCTCTCAACAGACCTGTTCATTTTGGTTGTAAAACCTTGCTTTCACTTTGGAAATATCAGAAGGCCTATATAGAGAAAACCTCATTATAGATAAAAACGTGGAAATTGAAGAGTCACAGCTCCTCTAGCCATAAAATGAATGCCAATGCAATACTTGTGTGGCCAGCCAGCAACTGGGCTTAAACCATTTAATGTTTGCTCTCTAGAAGTCACATAAACCATGTGAGGTATTCGCTCCACTTCCAACCAATGTAGTTCCCAGGGTTGTTCTGGTGAATGATTCATCTACCAATGCTGATTTCTAAAGACTTCAAATGAAACGTGTTCTCAAAGGTGCAAAAGGAATAAGGACTCGGAGGCCCAGGCTTGGATGCAGCACAACTTTAATGAGGGTAAAGAAGAAAAGGAGGTGGCTCCCAGGGAGCACCAGGGGCAGCCACCAAGAGGCGGTGCAGCTCCTGCAGGGTGTCCGTCTGCCTGTCCCTCATTGGGAGGGAGGGAGGGAGGGAGGGAGGCCAAGAGGTCCCCACGGGGCTGGTGTGGGAGGTGGAGACAGGAAAGGAATGGAGAGAACAGTGGGAGAAGGAAACAGCGCCGCGAAGCTCTATCTCCTGTGCAGATCCATGGTGTGAGGTCGTGGATGTTCCTGCCTGAGGACACAGCCAGCAGCTTTAGCAGGGTCTGCACCTGGTGCCGCAGTAGCGGTTGGTGATGCAGGAGAGGTCGAAGCCCCCGGAGTTGATGGGCACTCCCTCACAGCTGAGGATGCTGCCAACGGCGGCGGAGGTGGAGGAGCCCACAACGGTGTTCTGAGGGAAGGAGCTGAGGATGGGGCCGGGCAGGGTCACCACCACGGCGGAGGGCTGGATGGCGACGGTGGAGCTCTGGCACTGCCTGACACAGCACTCATTGCAGCTGTTGGCCAGCGGGGTCGGGCCGCAGGGCTGGCAGGGCACGCACGGGTTGCAGCAGGACATGTCTGGATGCTGGAGCTTCACCTGGACACAGGGCAGGGGCAAGCAGAGGATGGGACACGGCAGCAGCAGCTCTGCACCCAAGCCTGGGCAAGCCAAGGCACCTCCTGGCCCAGCACACGCTGACCACCTCCAAGCCCAGCAGCCGCCTCAGCTCACTCCCAGCCTCTCTCTGCACAAGCCCTTCTCTCCCCTTCCGTCTCCCCCCAGAGAAGCAGCTCCCAGCCCTGCGCTAGCACAGCCGCCATCAGCTGAGACCCCCAAGGAGGAACGACCTGCTCTGGAAGCAGCAGCACAAGAGGCTTCGCACTCACCTGATTGCCAGGAGAATTAGGCCAGAGAAGTGGATGAGGAGCACAGACCTGGGCTGCCTTTTATAGTCGTCCTGCAGTGCCTCAGGCCCACAGGCACCTCTGTGGCAGCAGGAATTTCCTGGCAAGCCCATGGCAAATGCAAACCCTCCCAGGTAATGGCAGGGGCCGTGTCCCGGTTTCCGGCACTGCTGCCTTTTCATTTCCCGGCTCATGTGCTTTGCCATAGGAAGGCTTCTGTCAGTGCCGGGATGAGAAGCCCAAGGGTTTCTGGGGCAGAACCACGTGAGCGCAGCAGAAGCCTCCCATCAAGGGCTGGTGCATCCCATGCAGGCAGGGGATGTGCTCCTGGCTCATTCCTGTGGGCTTGCTTGTGGCCACGCTGTGGGAAATGGGCACCGCTCTCGTGCTTCTCTTCCGCATGCCCAAGGAGTGCCACAGGAGAGGACATGGCACAGCCTTTCCTCTTGCTCCCCTCAGCTCTCTGAGGGAAGGCCATTGCTGTGTGCAGATGGGCTTCTGCTGGCAGGGCTGGACCCTACTGCAACACCAACAGTGCTCTCAGGACACCTGTGCTGGGCCTACAGTTGTGGGCTCCTCCTCTGCAAACCCTTGGGCCTCTCATCCCGGCACTGACAGAAGCCTTCCTATGGCAAAGCACATGAGCCGGGAAATGAAAAGGCAGCAGTGCCGGAAACCGGGACACGGCCCCTGCCATTACCTGGGAGGGTTTGCATTTGCCATGGGCTTGCCAGGAAATTCCTGCTGCCACAGAGGTGCCTGTGGGCCTGAGGCACTGCAGGACGACTATAAAAGGCAGCCCAGGTCTGTGCTCCTCATCCACTTCTCTGGCCTCCTTCTCCTGGCAATCAGGTGAGTGCGAAGCCTCTTGTGCTGCTGCTTCCAGAGCAGGTCGTTCCTCCTTGGGGGTCTCAGCTGATGGCGGCTGTGCTAGCGCAGGGCTGGGAGCTGCTTCTCGGCGGGCAGAGGGAAGGGGAGAGAAGGGCTTGTGCAGAGAGAGGCTGGGAGTGAGCTGAGGCGGCTGCTGGGCTTGGAGGTGGTCAGCGTGTGCTGGGCCAGGAGGTGCCTTGGCTTGCCCAGGCTTGGGTGCAGAGCTGCTGCTGCCGTGTCCCATCCTCTGCTTGCCCCTGCCCTGTGTCCAGGTGAAGCTCCAGCATCCAGACATGTCCTGCTGCAACCCGTGCGTGCCCTGCCAGCCCTGCGGCCCGACCCCGCTGGCCAACAGCTGCAATGAGTGCTGTGTCAGGCAGTGCCAGAGCTCCACCGTCGTCATTGAGCCTTCCCCCGTGGTGGTGACCCTGCCCGGCCCCATCCTCAGCTCCTTCCCTCAGAACACCGTTGTGGGCTCCTCCACCTCCGCCGCCGTTGGCAGCATCCTCAGCTGTGAGGGAGTGCCCATCAACTCCGGGGGCTTCGACCTCTCCTGCATCACCAACCGCTACTGCGGCACCAGGTGCAGACCCTGCTAAAGCTGCTGGCTGCGTCCTCAGGCAGGAACATCCACGACCTCACACCATGGATCTGCACAGGAGATAGAGCTTCGCGGCGCTGTTTCCTTCCCCCACTCTCCTCTCCATTCCTTTCCTGTCTCCACCTCCCGCACCAGCCCCGTGGGGACCCCTTGGCCTCCCTCCCTCCCTCCCTCCCAGTGAGGGACAGGCAGACGGACACCCTGCAGGAGCTGCACCGCATCTTGGTGGCTGCCCCTGGTGCTCCCTGGGAGCCACCTCCTTTTCTTCTTTACCCTCATTAAAGTTGTGCTGCATCCAAGCCTGGGCCTCCGAGTCCTTATTCCTTCTGTGGGAAATCCTCAAGTCTGCTTCCCCTTGGAGGTCGTAAAAACATCCCTGGCTACTCCACCGACAGTGGCCATCAGTGAGAGCACGGCTCCAAAGGGTGGCAGGAGTGGGCATGAGGAGACAAGACTGCTCAGAAGAGCACACAGCTTCTTCTCTGATCTTCTCTCTGCCATCCTCTCTCCTACCTCAGCTAGTACGCTATCTCTGCATGCCCAACATACATGGGCACAGGCAGATGAGATCCTACCTCATACTGTCCTTCAGCACCTGGCAGAGCCCAGCTCTCTCCAGGCATGCAGGGCTGAGGTAACCCAGAACTTAGGAAAATGACAGTGGTAACACCAGAGTCCCCCAGGTTAGGTGACAGACATGGGGAGCTGATAAAAATCCCCACAATCCAGGAATAAGTGGTGCTCCACTTAGACATACACCTGTCTATGGGTCTGGAAGCTTCCAAGCAAGAGTGCTGAAGGATCTGGCAGAGGAGCGTGCCAAGCCACTCTCCATCACTGATCAGCAGTCCTGGTGTAGGAACGACCTGCTCTGGAAGCAGCAGCACAAGAGGCTTCGCACTCACCTGATTGCCAGGAGAAGGAGGCCAGAGAAGTGGATGAGGAGCACAGACCTGGGCTGCCTTTTATAGTCGTCCTGCAGTGCCTCAGGCCCACAGGCACCTCTGTGGCAGCAGGAATTTCCTGGCAAGCCCATGGCAAATGCAAACCCTCCCAGGTAATGGCAGGGGCCGTGTCCCGGTTTCCGGCACTGCTGCCTTTTCATTTCCCGGCTCATGTGCTTTGCCATAGGAAGGCTTCTGTCAGTGCCGGGATGAGAAGCCCAAGGGTTTCCGGGGCAGAACCACGTGAGCGCAGCAGAAGCCTCCCATCAAGGGCTGGTGCATCCCGTGCAGGCAGGGGATGTGCTCCTGGCTCATTCCTGTGGGCTTGCTTGTGGCCACGCTGTGGGAAACGGGCACCGCTCTCGTGCTTCTGTCCACGTGCACAAGGAGCCCCACGGGACAGGACACGGCACAGCCTTTCCTCTGTCCCCTCAGCTCTCTGAGGGAAGCCATTGCTGTGTGCAGCCTCCAGGCTTCTTGCAGGGCTGGAGCAAGGACCAAAGTGCTCTCAGGACCACCTGTGCTGACCGTGGACCCTTAATCGATGCCCGTGCCTCAGGGATGCTGCTGTGCAGGTTCTGTGGGTCCTCAGGGAACACCAGTTGCCAGCTGCACTCTGCAGCTGGTGATTGCCTGCCCTGAGGGAGGGCCTGCTCTGTGCCCTTGCGGTCCCAGGGACCCTCAGCAGGGCTCCAGGTGCTGATGTTGTCTGGCATTGTGTGGGCCTCCAGATATGGGCATGGTCCAGAGCCTGAGGCCAACTCGTGTGTGGCTGTGGCCAGCACCAGGTGACCCTCATCATCAAGGTACAGGCACAGCTCGCTGTGTCTGGCTTGTGATGAGGTGAACCATCAAAAGCCGTGCTTTGCCGTGAGCACATCCAGCAAAGTCCCACTTTACACGGAGGGCAAGGCCCCAGGGCACATCCCGCTGTGCTCCTGAATGGTGAAGCCGTGAATGAAGGAGGGAAGTGGGCCACAACCGTCTGTGCAAAAGAGGTGGATGGGGTAAAGGCATCCCAGGAGGTGAACCTAGGCCCAAGGCCGGAATTTCCTTTCTCGTCCTCTTTTCCATTGGATAGAATGAATGTCCCCAAGTCAGGTCTGTTTCACCCTGGGCAATTGGTGCTTACAGGATGGCTCTGTGCTTATCTCAGCCCCTCACCTTTTCACCTGACTTTCTCCTCCTGTCCTCCTGCGGCACAGGAGAAAGCAGCAGAGTGGCTCTGGAGCAGCAGGGTCCTTTTGGTTCTGGCTGGCATTATGGCAACTGCCTGGAAGCCAGTGTGTGTCTTGTACACAGTTTTGGCCCTGGCTTCTCTCTCTCCTGCTACCTGACCTTGTCCACTGCCCCTCAGAGGTGAAGGGCAATGATGTCAACTTGGTCGTTGTGCCCAAGCCTGGGAAGTGGAAGTGGGAGGTTCACAGCCATGGTGAGCACCTTAACGTTCTTCAAGAGTCTGATCAACTGAATTCAGCCACCCAGGGCCACCACTGAAGTGGCTCTCTCCCCATGCAGGAGCCCATCAGACACCATGCGGCAACATCAGGTGCTCTTGCAGTGCACCATGGGCACCCTTTTGCCACGGGGTGGCTGTGTGCTGGCAGTTGGGGATGTGCAGTTCTCTAGCCCCAATAGCATCTGTGCACTGAAAGGTCCTGGGGCAACCTCACCCTATGGGGGTGCAGAGGCATGATGGGGATGGACCACTTGGTCCTTGCAATCCTGGACACATCTTGTTCTTCTGCTGAGGGCAGATGGGTGGGAAGGCGAGAGAGGAGAAGGACTTGCTCTGGGCATCCCAGGCTCCTCCAGCTCCTTTCTTTCACCCAGTCCTTCTGAGGCTCTCTGGAGCCCTCTTCCTCTGAGCGTTGCCTGGCACAGCTCCAGGCAACAGTAGGGGATTGCCTCACCAGAGATGCAGCGAAGGAGGGCCCCTGCAGGTGCTGAGGCACTGGGAGCCAGAGAGCTGTTGGCTCACACTCTGTGGGACAGGCGCATGCTGGGAGCAGGGGCCAGCAGGTGCTGCTAGTGGAAGTTGTCCATCTCCCAGAGGCAGAATGAGAAAGGTCCACTTGGTTCACACACTTGCCAGCATATCTCCTTTCTCCCTGCACAGCTTTAGGGAGCGTCCAGAGAGCAAAGGACCACACAGAGCCAGAGGCTGCGATGCAACAGAGTTTAATGAGTCCGAAGAGGGAAACAAGATGTCTCGAGAGGCCCAGGCTTGGATGCAGCACAACTTTAATGAGGGTAAAGAAGAACAGGAGGGGGCTCCCAGGGAGCACCAGGGGCAGCCACCAAGCTGCGGTGCAGCTCCTGCAGGGTGTCCGTCTGGGCAGAAAGCAAGGAAGGCAAAGGAGGGAAAGCAGAGAGTGGAGGAAGGGAATGGGAGGCAGCGGCCGTGTTTGCAGAGAGCCCGGCGGGGGCTGCCTCCTGGGAGGTGGAGACAGGAAAGGAATGGAGAGGACCCCTCTCCGAGAAGGAAACACGCCGGCCGCAGTCTCCGTCCTGTGCAGATCCATGGTGTGCTGGGTCGTGGATCCTTCCTGCTGGGCTCTCAGCGGTGGCTTTAGCAGGGTCTGCACCTGGAGCCGCAGTAGCGGTTGGTGATGCAGGAGAGGTCGAAGCCCCCGGAGTTGATGGGCACTCCCTCACAGCTGAGGATGCTGCCAACGGCGGCGGAGGTGGAGGAGCCCACAACGGTGTTCTGAGGGAAGGAGCTGAGGATGGGGCCGGGCAGGGTCACCACCACGGGGGAAGGCTCAATGACGACGGTGGAGCTCTGGCACTGCCTGACACAGCACTCATTGCAGCTGTTGGCCAGCGGGGTCGGGCCGCAGGGCTGGCAGGGCACACACGGGTTGCAGCAGGACATGTCTGGATGCTGGAGCTTCACCTGGACACAGGGCAGGGGCAAGCAGAGGATGGGACACGGCAGCAGCAGCTCTGCACCCAAGCCTGGGCAAGCCAAGGCACCTCCTGGCCCAGCACACGCTGACCACCTCCAAGCCCAGCAGCCGCCTCAGCTCAGTCCCAGCCTCTCTCTGCACAAGCCCTTCTCTCCCCTTCCCTCTCCCCCCGAGAAGCAGCTCCCAGGCCTGCGCTAGCACAGCCCCCATCAGCTGAGAGCCCCGGGGAGGAACGACCTGCTCTGGAAGCAGCAGCACAAGAGGCTTCGCACTCACCTGATTGCCAGGGGAAGGAGGCCAGAGAAGTGGATGAGGAGCACAGACCTGGGCTGCCTTTTATAGTCGTCCTGCAGTGCCTCAGGCCCACAGGCACCTCTGTGGCAGCAGGAATTTCCGGGCAAGCCCATGGCAAATGCAAACCCTCCCAGGTAATGGCAGGGGCCGTGTCCCGGTTTCCGGCACTGCTGCCTTTTCATTTCCCGGCTCATGTGCTTTGCCATAGGAAGGCTTCTGTCAGTGCCGGGATGAGAAGCCCAAGGGTTTCCGGGGCAGAACCACGTGAGCGCAGCAGAAGCCTCCCATCAAGGGCTGGTGCATCCCATGCAGGCAGGGGATGTGCTCCTGGCTCATTCCTGTGGGCTTGCTTGTGGCCACGCTGTGGGAAATGGGCACCGCTCTCGTGCTTCTCTTCCGCATGCCCAAGGAGTGCCACAAGAGAGGACATGGCACAGCCTTTCCTCTTGCTCCCCTCAGCTCTCTGAGGGAAGGCCATTGCTGTGTGCACATGGGCTTCTGCTGGCAGGGCTGGACCCTACTGCAACACCAAGAGTGCTCTCAGGACACCTGTGCTGGGCCTACAGTTGTGGGCTCCTCCTCTGCAAACCCTTGGGCCTCTCATCCCGGCACTGACAGAAGCCTTCCTATGGCAAAGCACATGAGCCGGGAAATGAAAAGGCAGCAGTGCCGGAAACCGGGACACGGCCCCTGCCATTACCTGGGAGGGTTTGCATTTGCCATGGGCTTGCCAGGAAATTCCTGCTGCCACAGAGGTGCCTGTGGGCCTGAGGCACTGCAGGACGACTATAAAAGGCAGCCCAGGTCTGTGCTCCTCATCCACTTCTCTGGCCTCCTTCTCCTGGCAATCAGGTGAGTGCGAAGCCTCTTGTGCTGCTGCTTCCAGAGCAGGTCGTTCCTCCCCGGGGCTCTCAGCTGATGGGGGCTGTGCTAGCGCAGGGCTGGGAGCTGCTTCTCTGGGGGCAGAGGGAAGGGGAGAGAAGGGCTTGTGCAGAGAGAGGCTGGGACTGAGCTGAGGCGGCTGCTGGGCTTGGAGGTGGTCAGCGTGTGCTGGGCCAGGAGGTGCCTTGGCTTGCCCAGGCTTGGGTGCAGAGCTGCTGCTGCCGTGTCCCATCCTCTGCTTGCCCCTGCCCTGTGTCCAGGTGAAGCTCCAGCATCCAGACATGTCCTGCTGCAACCCGTGCGTGCCCTGCCAGCCCTGCGGCCCGACCCCGCTGGCCAACAGCTGCAATGAGTGCTGTGTCAGGCAGTGCCAGAGCTCCACCGTCGCCATCCAGCCCTCCGCCGTGGTGGTGACCCTGCCCGGCCCCATCCTCAGCTCCTTCCCTCAGAACACCGTTGTGGGCTCCTCCACCTCCGCCGCCGTTGGCAGCATCCTCAGCTGTGAGGGAGTGCCCATCAACTCCGGGGGCTTCGACCTCTCCTGCATCACCAACCGCTACTGCGGCACCAGGTGCAGACCCTGCTAAAGCTGCTGGCTGCGTCCTCAGGCAGGAACATCCACGACCTCACACCATGGATCTGCACAGGAGATAGAGCTTCGCGGCGCTGTTTCCTTCTCCCACTGTCCTCTCCATTCCTTTCCTGTCTCCACCTCCCGCACCAGCCCCGTGGGGACCTCTTGGCCTCCCTCCCTCCCTCCCTCCCTCCCTCCCAGTGAGGGACAGGCAGACGGACACCCTGCAGGAGCTGCACCGCCTCTTGGTGGCTGCCCCTGGTGCTCCCTGGGAGCCACCTTCTTTTCTTCTTTACCCTCATTAAAGTTGTGCTGCATCCAAGCCTGGGCCTCCGAGTCCTTATTCCTTCTACAGGAATTCTTCTGTTTCCTGTATTATTTCTCATCTGAGTGACACAATGGCTTCACTGTGCTTATATATCCATTTAGACATAAACCATTGGCTAAATCTTTGACTACGTGTGCATCCAGTGGAACTACACTAACCTCTGAGAAGTGATTTAGGAAGCAGGGGTGTCATTTCTTGATGTTGTAAACATATTTCTTGTTTTCACTTAAGATTGAAGCGCACCAGTTCATTTGCAACAGCCAGCCAGCAGGCCAAGGAAATGGCTTTCCTGGTGACGAGGGTAGTCTTCCTTATTTATGACTCAACAGTGGTGGAACGGGGTGTTGCAGTCACTACACATCAATTCCTTTGTGCCATTGTTTCCTCTTCATACTTTTCCTCTTCTGCATCATGAGCCTTTAGCATAGGCCGCAGTCTTTCAAGGCCTGCTCCAGTGTACGCCTTATTCATGGGCTGAAGTCCTTTCTGGGTAGGCTGCTCCAATGTGGATTTTCCAGTGGACACAGCTCTGCCAGGAGCCTGCTTCAGCACGATCTCTGTGCAAGCCATTGTTCCTGTAGGGAATATCAGCCTGGTCTGGCGTGGGATCGTCCATGGGCTGCAGTGTGGATTTCTGCTCCACCACGGTCTTTCCTTTGGGCTGCATGGGAATCTCTCCCCCATCACCTGGAGCACCTTCTCCACCTCTTCCTACCCTGGCCTTGCTGCTTACAGGACTGGTTCTCAAGTGGGTTTTCCCTCACTTCCTGGGCAGTGTTCTGCCCTTTCTTAAACACCTTTCCACAGAGGCACCACCAGAGTGATGGGCTCAGCATTAGGCAGCACCGAGCCCAGTTTGGAGCTGGCTGGATCTGACTCTATCAGACATGGGTGAAGCCCGTGGATTGTTCTCACAGAAACCACCCCGGCACCCTTCCTCCTCCTGCTACCAAAGCCTTGCCACACAAGCCCAGGGGAGTGGGTCCAACAGAGCGTGAGGCACAATTACAGAAATAGAAGTTTCAACGGAAAATGTCCACGGTAGATCCTTTAGGAAGTGGAAGTGCTGGAGGTAATTATGGTGATCTCCTTAACGTTATCATCATCAGATCTCAACTGCTGTATCCCACATTCGCCCTGGGCCTCTTTGACACTCCTCCAGGCACTTTCCCAAAGGATTCTGCCCATCAGGTCACCAAGAGGATAAAAATCTGCTCTTATGAGTGCAGGGTTGCAATTTCACCTTCTGCTTTCACAGCCACTGCAGACTCTGGACAGGAGAGCTATCCAGAACCCTAAAAGCTCATAGGTCTGCAAGTGCACACAGACCTTAAAGTCAACCTGTGTGTGTTCTGGCTCAGGCTCTTGCCTTCCAAATACCTGGGGTCAAGCTGGAAAGACATGTCAGTGAATGTGCTGGTTTTGCCTGGGATAGGGTTAAGCATCTTCATAGTAGCTCTCAGGGGCTATGATGTGGATTTGTGCTGAAAAGAGTGTGGATAACACAGGGATGTTTTCACTGTAGCTGAGCAGTTCTTATACAGCAGCAAAGCCTTTTCTACTCCATAGACTGCACTACACCCATTTTTGAAAAGGAGGAAAGGAAGATCCAGGGAATTGAAGCGCCTGACAAATTCTGGTGCCTTCTACAAGGGGGGATTTGACACTGTCCTGCACAACATCCTTGTCTCTAAATTGGAGAGGCATGGATACGATGGAAGGACCACGTAGCTGGTAAAAAATAGGCTGAAATTTTGCACTCAAATTGTCTCCTCTGGGGACAGGCAGAGATAGCTGGGATGGTTCAGCCTGGAGAAGAGAAGGCTGCAGGAGACCTGGAAGCAGAATCCAGTGCCTAAAGAGGGACAACAGGAAAGCTGGAGAGGGGCTTTTGACAAAAAATCATGCACTAATAGGACAACAGTAACTGATTTAAACAGGAGGAGGGTAGATTTAGATGAAATTGTACGCAGAAGATCTTCCCTGTGAGGGTGCTCCCTGGCAGTGCCCAAGGCCAGGTTGGACACAGGGTCTTGGAGCAAGCTGCGATCATGGAACCTGCCCATGCTGGTGGTAGGGGAATTGGAATGAAATGAGGTTTAACGCCTCTTCCAAACCAAAATGTTCTATGGTTCTAAAATTTCATGAAACAAGAAATTAATTTCCCAAGTTTACAAGTGAAAAAATCCACTGCTGATCCCTCCCACCTCCAACTTTTCCCCTGAACAGAGTGGAAGGGTGGCTGCAGAAGGAATAAGGACTCGGAGGCCCAGGCTTGGATGCAGCACAACTTTAATGAGGGTAAAGAAGAAAAGGAGGTGGCTCCCAGGGAGCACCAGGGGCAGCCACCAAGAGGCGGTGCAGCTCCTGCAGGGTGTCCGTCTGCCTGTCCCTCACTGGGAGGGAGGGAGGGAGGGAGGGAGGGAGGGAGGGAGGGAGGGAGGGAGGGAGGGAGGCCAAGAGGTCCCCACGGGGCTGGTGTGGGAGGTGGAGACAGGAAAGGAATGGAGAGAACAGTGGGAGAAGGAAACAGCGCCGCGAAGCTCTATCTCCTGTGCAGATCCATGGTGTGAGGTCGTGGAGGTCCTTGCCCGAGGATGCTGGTAGAAGCTTTAGCAGGGTCTGCACCTGGTGCCGCAGTAGCGGTTGGTGATGCAGGAGAGGTCGAAGCCCCCGGAGTTGATGGGCACTCCCTCACAGCTGAGGATGCTGCCAACGGCGGCGGAGGTGGAGGAGCCCACAACGGTGTTCTGAGGGAAGGAGCTGAGGATGGGGCCGGGCAGGGTCACCACCACGGCGGAGGGCTGGATGGCGACGGTGGAGCTCTGGCACTGCCTGACACAGCACTCATTGCAGCTGTTGGCCAGCGGGGTCGGGCCGCAGGGCTGGCAGGGCACGCACGGGTTGCAGCAGGACATGTCTGGATGCTGGAGCTTCACCTGGACACAGGGCAGGGGCAAGCAGAGGATAGGAAACGGCAGCAGCAGCTCTGCACCCAAGCCTGGGCAAGCCAAGGCACCTCCTGGCCCAGCACACGCTGACCACCTCCAAGCCCAGCAGCCGCCTCAGCTCAGTCCCAGCCTCTCTCTGCACAAGCCCTTCTCTCCCCTTCCCTCTCCCCCCGAGAAGCAGCTCCCAGCCCTGCGCTAGCACAGCCCCCATCAGCTGAGAGCCCCGGGGAGGAACGACCTGCTCTGGAAGCAGCAGCACAAGAGGCTTCGCACTCACCTGATTGCCAGGAGAAGGAGGCCAGAGAAGTGGATGAGGAGCACAGACCTGGGCTGCCTTTTATAGTCGTCCTGCAGTGCCTCAGGCCCACAGGCACCTCTGTGGCAGCAGGAATTTCCTGGCAAGCCCATGGCAAATGCAAACCCTCCCAGGTAATGGCAGGGGCCGTGTCCCGGTTTCCGGCACTGCTGCCTTTTCATTTCCCGGCTCATGTGCTTTGCCATAGGAAGGCTTCTGTCAGTGCCGGGATGAGAGGCCCAAGGGTTTCCGGGGCAGGAGCCACGTGAGCCCAGCACAGGTGTCCTGAGAGCACTGTTGGTGTTGCAGTAGGGTCCAGCCCTGCCAGCAGAAGCCCATCTGCACACAGCAATGGCCTTCCCTCAGAGAGCTGAGGGGAGCAAGAGGAAAGGCTGTGCCATGTCCTCTCCTGTGGCAGTCCTTGGGCATGCGGAAGAGAAGCACGAGAGCGGTGCCCATTTCCCACAGCGTGGCCACAAGCAAGCCCACAGGAATGAGCCAGGAGCACATCCCCTGCCTGCACGGGATGCACCAGCCCTTGATGGGAGGCTTCTGCTGCGCTCACGTGGTTCTGCCCCGGAAACCCTTGGGCTTCTCATCCCGGCACTGACAGAAGCCTTCCTATGGCAAAGCACATGAGCCGGGAAATGAAAAGGCAGCAGTGCCGGAAACCGGGACACGGCCCCTGCCATTACCTGGGAGGGTTTGCATTTGCCATGGGCTTGCCAGGAAATTCCTGCTGCCACAGAGGTGCCTGTGGGCCTGAGGCACTGCAGGACGACTATAAAAGGCAGCCCAGGTCTGTGCTCCTCATCCACTTCTCTGGCCTCCTTCTCCTGGCAATCAGGTGAGTGCGAAGCCTCTTGTGCTGCTGCTTCCAGAGCAGGTCGTTCCTCCCCGGGGCTCTCAGCTGATGGGGGCTGTGCTAGCGCAGGGATGGGAGCTGCTTCTCGGGGGGGAGAGGGAAGGGGAGAGAAGGGCTTGTGCAGAGAGAGGCTGGGACTGAGCTGAGGCGGCTGCTGGGCTTGGAGGTGGTCAGCGTGTGCTGGGCCAGGAGGTGCCTTGGCTTGCCCAGGCTTGGGTGCAGAGCTGCTGCTGCCGTGTCCCATCCTCTGCTTGCCCCTGCCCTGTGTCCAGGTGAAGCTCCAGCATCCAGACATGTCCTGCTGCAACCCGTGCGTGCCCTGCCAGCCCTGCGGCCCGACCCCGCTGGCCAACAGCTGCAATGAGTGCTGTGTCAGGCAGTGCCAGAGCTCCACCGTCGCCATCCAGCCCTCCGCCGTGGTGGTGACCCTGCCCGGCCCCATCCTCAGCTCCTTCCCTCAGAACACCGTTGTGGGCTCCTCCACCTCCGCCGCCGTTGGCAGCATCCTCAGCTGTGAGGGAGTGCCCATCAACTCCGGGGGCTTCGACCTCTCCTGCATCACCAACCGCTACTGCGGCACCAGGTGCAGACCCTGCTAAAGCTGCTGGCTGCGTCCTCAGGCAGGAACATCCACGACCTCACACCATGGATCTGCACAGGAGATAGAGCTTCGCGGCGCTGTTTCCTTCTCCCACTGTCCTCTCCATTCCTTTCCTGTCTCCACCTCCCGCACCAGCCCCGTGGGGACCTCTTGGCCTCCCTCCCTCCCTCCCTCCCTCCCAGTGAGGGACAGGCAGACGGACACCCTGCAGGAGCTGCACCGCCTCTTGGTGGCTGCCCCTGGTGCTCCCTGGGAGCCACCTCCTTTTCTTCTTTACCCTCATTAAAGTTGTGCTGCATCCAAGCCTGGGCCTCCGAGTCCTCCTTCCTTCTGTGGGAAATCCTCAAGTCTGCTTCCCCTTGGAGGTGACAAAGACATCTCTGGGTAAAGCTACGTAAGTGAGGGGATGTCTCTAAAGGGTGGCGGTAGTTGGCATGGTGAGACAATGCTGCCTGAGGACAGCCCACTGCCTCTGCCTTCCTGTCGTCTACGTCACCCAGCACACCACCCTTACATGCCCAGCACACACGGGCACAGGCAGATGAGATCCTGTCTCATACAGTCCCTCAGCACCTGGCAGGGGCCAGCTCTCTTCAGGCATGAACTGGTGAGTTATCCCAACACTTAGGACTGGCAGCAGCCAGCCCAGGCTGTCCAACAGCGTCCCCACTACCTGTGAACCCAGCACCCCCAGCAGGATCTCATCCTATTTCAGGTGCTCATCTTCCCTGATCAAATAATGTGGCTTCCTTAAGAATGCAAACATAGATGTGCTTTTCAATGATACTTGAAAATTTCCTTTGTAGGCCTTGGTCTCCAGCCCTGGCTAATGCTCTAAATCCTGGCCCCTCTCATAAAATCATAGAATCAGTGAGGTTGGAACGGACCTTTAAGATCATCAAGTGCAACCCTTCCCCAGCACTGCCAGATCCACCAGTAATCATTGTCACTAAGGCCCTCATGTGCGCGTTGTTTAAGGCTCCCGGGGCTGTTCAAATTGCACCACTTCCCTGGGCAGCCTGTTCCAATTCCTGATCACACTCTTGATTTAGAAATTGGTCCTAATCTCCACTCTAAACCTCCCCTGGTGCAGCTTGAGGCATTTCCTTTTCTCCTATGACTTCTTACCGGGCAGAAGAGCCCAACCCCACCTCACTACAACCTCCTGTCAGGTAGCTGGAGAGAGAGATAAGGTCCAGACTAAAGTTCCCTATGTCCTTCAGCCGTTCCCCATCACACTGTGCTCCAGGCCCTTCACCAGCTCCACTGCCCTTCTCTGGCCCTGCTCCAGCACCTCAATGTGTCTCTTGTAGTGAGAGGGACAGAAATGATCATGGGATTTTAGGTGCAGCCTCAAATGCCCTGGTCCTGCTAGCCACACTCTGTCTGATCCAGACCAGGATTCCCCTGGCCTTCTTGGCTGCCTGGGCATTACATGGGTCATGTTCACATCCGCCAACCAGCACCCCCAGGTCCTTTTCATGGGCAGTTTCCAGCCACTCTTCCCCAGGCCTGGAGCTTTGCAGGGGGTTGTTGTGGCCCAAATGCAGGATACAGCACTTTGCCTTGTTGAACCTCTTCCATTGGCCACAGCCCACGGATCAGGCTTGTCCAGATCCCTCTCCAGAGATTCCTACCCTTCGGAAGATCAACACTCCCACCCAACTTGGTGTTGTCCACAAAGTCACTGAGGGTGCCCTCCATCCCCTCATCCAGATCACCACCGAAGATTGTAAACGACACTGGCCCCAAGACCAAACTCTGAGGACCACCACTAGTAATCAGTCGCCAACTAGATGTGACGCCATTTATGACCACTATTTGGAATCCGCCTTCGAGCCATTTTCAATCCAGCAAGGAATCCACACCTCCAGGCCATGAGGAACCACTTTCTCCAGCAGAACAATATGGGACAGTGTCAAAAGCTTCAGTAAAGTCAAATAGACAATGTCCACAGCCTTTCCCTCATCACCTAGGTGGGTCACCCTGTCATAGAAAGAGATCACGTTGGTCAAACAGTACATGCCCTTCAGGAACCCGTGTGAAATGGGTCTGATACCTAAATTTTCCAGTAAGTGCCTTATGGTCCCACCAAGGATCCTCTGCTCCATGACCTTCCCCAGCACTGAGCTCAGGCTGACAGGCCTGGAGCTTTGGGAAAATCCTTCCTGCCTTTTTTCTAAAGAAACATCACAGTGGCCGACCTCCAACATGTGGGGATCTGCCCGCTACACCAGGACTGCTGATCAGTGATGGAGAGTGGCTTGGCACGCTCCTCTGCCAGATCCTTCAGCACTCTTGCTTGGAAGCTTCCAGAATAATTTGTCTAATGGAGCACCACTGATTCCTGGATTGTGGGGATTTTTATCAGCTCCCCATGTGCGTCACCTAACCTGGGGGACTCTGGTGTTACCACTGTCATTTTCCTTAGTGCTGGGTTACCTCAGCCCTGCATGCAAGGAGAGGGCTTGCAGGGCTCTGCCAGGTGCTGAAGGACTGTATGAGGTAGGATCTCATCTGCCTGTGCCCATGTGTGCTGGGCATGCAGGGATAGCGTACTAGCTGAGGTAGGAGAGAGGATGGCAGAGAGAAGATCAGAGAAGAAGCTGTGTGCTCTTCTGAGCAGTCTTGTCTCCTCATGCCCACTCCTGCCACCCTTTGGAGCCGTGCTCTCACTGATGGCCACTGCCAGTGGAGTAGCCAAGGATGTCTTTGTCACCTCCAAGGGGAAGCAGACTTGAGGATTTCCCACAGAAGGAATAAGGACTCGGAGGCCCAGGCTTGGATGCAGCACAACTTTAATGAGGGTAAAGAAGAAAAGGAGGTGGCTCCCAGGGAGCACCAGGGGCAGCCACCAAGAGGCGGTGCAGCTCCTGCAGGGTGTCCGTCTGCCTGTCCCTCACTGGGAGGGAGGGAGGGAGGGAGGCCAAGGGGTCCCCACGGGGCTGGTGCGGGAGGTGGAGACAGGAAAGGAACGGAGAGGACAGTGGGAGAAGGAAACAGCGCCACGAAGCTCTATCTCCTGTGCAGATCCATGGTGTGAGGTCGTGGATGTTCCTGCCTGAGGACGCAGCCAGCAGCTTTAGCAGGGTCTGCACCTGGTGCCGCAGTAGCGGTTGGTGATGCAGGAGAGGTCGAAGCCCCCGGAGTTGATGGGCACTCCCTCACAGCTGAGGATGCTGCCAACGGCGGCGGAGGTGGAGGAGCCCACAACGGTGTTCTGAGGGAAGGAGCTGAGGATGGGGCCGGGCAGGGTCACCACCACGGGGGAAGGCTCAATGACGACGGTGGAGCTCTGGCACTGCCTGACACAGCACTCATTGCAGCTGTTGGCCAGCGGGGTCGGGCCGCAGGGCTGGCAGGGCACGCACGGGTTGCAGCAGGACATGTCTGGATGCTGGAGCTTCACCTGGACACAGGGCAGGGGCAAGCAGAGGATGGGACACGGCAGCAGCAGCTCTGCACCCAAGCCTGGGCAAGCCAAGGCACCTCCTGGCCCAGCACACGCTGACCACCTCCAAGCCCAGCAGCCGCCTCAGCTCACTCCCAGCCTCTCTCTGCACAAGCCCTTCTCTCCCCTTCCCTCTCCCCCCTGAGAAGCAGCTCCCATCCCTGCGCTAGCACAGCCCCCATCAGCTGAGAGCCCCGGGGAGGAACGACCTGCTCTGGAAGCAGCAGCACAAGAGGCTTCGCACTCACCTGATTGCCAGGAGAAGGAGGCCAGAGAAGTGGATGAGGAGCACAGACCTGGGCTGCCTTTTATAGTCGTCCTGCAGTGCCTCAGGCCCACAGGCACCTCTGTGGCAGCAGGAATTTCCTGGCAAGCCCATGGCAAATGCAAACCCTCCCAGGTAATGGCAGGGGCCGTGTCCCGGTTTCCGGCACTGCTGCCTTTTCATTTCCCGGCTCATGTGCTTTGCCATAGGAAGGCTTCTGTCAGTGCCGGGATGAGAAGCCCAAGGGTTTCCGGGGCAGAACCACGTGAGCGCAGCAGAAGCCTCCCATCAAGGGCTGGTGCATCCCGTGCAGGCAGGGGATGTGCTCCTGGCTCATTCCTGTGGGCTTGCTTGTGGCCACGCTGTGGGAAACGGGCACCGCTCTCGTGCTTCTCTTCCGCATGCCCAAGGACTGCCACAGGAGAGGACATGGCACAGCCTTTCCTCTTGCTCCCCTCAGCTCTCTCTGAGGGAAGGCCATTGCTGTGTGCAGATGGGCTTCTGCTGGCAGGGCTGGACCCTACTGCAACACCAACAGTGCTCTCAGGACACCTGTGCTGGGCTCAAGTGCCTCATCCCTGCTCTGTGCAGTCTCTGTGGCTTCTCAGGGAACATCAGGAGCATTTCTGCGGCCTGGTCCTTCCTCACAGTTCCTGAGCCCTGTTGTGCCAGTGCTGTTCCAGCATCTCCTCAGCAGAGTCCCCACGTGCTGATGTTTCTGGCATTGTGTGAGCGTACAGATATGGGCATGGTTCCATGCAGACATGCCTGAGCACATGTGTATCAGTCCATCCTTGTGTGACCCTCATCATGAGGGTACAGGCACACCATGGCTGGAGCTTGTGATATAGGGAGAATCATCAAGATCCTTTTCATGAGCAGATCCAGCAATGTCCCACTTTACATGTGCAGAACCTGTTGTGCACTGACCACAACTCCCCAGTCCACGTCCCACTGTGCTGCTTAATGGTGAAGCCACGAATGAAGGAGGGCAGTGGAGTCTGTGTTGTCCGGCTTGGATTTCACCACATCTCATTTTCAACGTATCAAATACGGCTACTTCCAACTGATTAAGTCAAGGAGATGTATGTAGTCAGGGTAGAGAAACAGGTATCAATCATAGCTATTATAAACTTAGGTGTGGCGTATTCCATCTATTTCATTGTCTATCCCCCTCTCCCTCACCTCCCCAGGGTACTGGGAGCTCTGCTAGGAAGTCATTCACATGAACTCACTGCTTTGTATGTCTGGATTTCAGAATATCATCAGAGCCTACAACACACCTTGCCACTAGATCGTTCAAGGCCTGTCTGACTTGTTGATTTTGAAGGGTTACACAGCTGAGTAACCACACAGTAAAGGAAAGATACAACTTTGTCAAAATCCCTCCCGCCCCGTTGCCTTGGTCGGATGTACCTGAAGATGGAGCTGCTGTACAGAATAGTGACCACGATGAGGTGACTGGAGCATGTGGAAAAGGCTTTTTTCCTGCTTGCTGAAGACTGGATGTGTGTGACCGTGTGGATGATGTATGCATAGGAAAAAGCAGTTACTGACAAGGTGCCAGGTAGTATCAGAACACCAGTCACTAACACTACCTTCTCAATGACGCCTGTGTCTGCGCAGGACAGCTGGAGCAGTGGTGCTATATCGCAGTAGAAGTGGTTGATGACACCAGGCCCGTAGAAAGGCAACTGGGTTATAACTGTGAGTGGGGAAATCATCAAGAAGAAACTCATTACCCAGCAGCCCAGCACCAGCTGGAGGCAAAACCTATTGCTCATGAAGGTAGCATAATGCAAAGGGCGGCAGATGGCCATGTAGCGGTCAAAGGACATGAGAGCTACATGGAAGAAAGTGCAGATACCCAGGATGAAGAAGAGGGATAACTGAAGGAAACATCCAGAGGGGGAAATTGTTTTTGCTCCTGTGAGGAGGCTGTAGAGAGTCCTTGGCATGAAGGTAGAAGTGAAGCAAATTTCCACAACGGAGAAATTCCTGAGAAAGAAATACATGGGGATGTGGAGGCGTTGGTCCACCAGTGTGATGGTAATGACAGTGATGTTTCCAAGGAGGATCAGGAGGAAGGCAACAAAGAGAATGGCAAATAGGATGATCTCCGAAAAGCGGTTGCTGGCAAGTCCCAAGAGGATGAACTCTGCTGTTGTCTGATTTGTCTTTGAAAGCTGAATAATAGTTAAAAAATAGTTTAAAAAAATGTTAAAGTTGTTCCAAGCAGCATAAGCAAAAGACTAATGAGATGGTTACATGTGGTTGTCTTGACTAGAAGACTATTGTAAGCCAACAGTGAGTGATTTACATAACAGTTGACCTGAGTAGGCACCTGCCCGTGCTGCCCATATCAACTGGCCACAGGACAAACTTAGCATAACGAAGCAGCCTTTAGGCAGCTCCCACTTGGCACCAATAATGACACTGCCAAGCAGGTTCTTGTCCACGTTCTTAAAATGAAGCAGCATGCTCTCGTGTGGATATCCTTTTACCAGACAGAGGAAATCATGCACAGCATTTTTCAGTTCTTATGAAAAAATGGTAAGAGTTCTAAATACCATAATGTGTGGGAATTACTCCGCAGACAGGATCCGTGTAACGGGCTGTGCCTTGGCTAGAAATCCATCCAGTGTGTCATGACTGCAGGTTCCAAGCATCTGAAGGGACACATTATCTATGCTAGTCCCCTTCCCTTTTCACATTAGCTCAAAAAATGGCATTTTAATTAATACCTGTCAGAATCCGAGTACCTTTCTTAATAGTACCCATTACAAACCCCAGAGGCCATGCATTAGAATGCCTTTGAGGGCAGATTCCAAAGGAGAGGGCATACCCTTTTCCATAGAAACCTGAAGCGTTTCTTAACGCACCTGACTGCAGATCACTACTTGTCCAAGTACTGCATTCATCACTACTGCTGCATTGTCGAAGGCAGGGATTCAATACCTTCAGAGAGACTTTCTGCCGATCTTAAGATGAGTGTCAGAAGCACCGGTGTGTGTTCACCCCTGAAGATACAGACCCTACATGATGAGATAAGATTTAGATCCTCCCCTGCTTTATTTGTGTGCCACCACAGGTCAGGATCTGCAAGCACACCTTAGCATTTCTGCCCAATTCTTAGCATTTCTGCCCAATTTCTGTTTTCCAGGCTGGCTTCCTGCCTTAGCAGACAAATATAAATTTTAGTGCTTTACTTTTAATCCCATTTTCCTATACTTATGGTAACATAACAACAAGAAGCTCCTGAATTCTTCCAGGTTACCAGTCTGCATCATCTTCCAGGTGGCAGTGAGCTGCCAAGGTCTCCTCATCACGTTTTAGCAACAGTGACAAACAGTAGAACTGTTGTCCACAAACAAAGCAAATGATGGTATTCCTTGACAAAACAGAAAATGCTAATAAATTATTCTCGTTAAATGTCATTAATTCACCTTAATAAATACTCCTGGAGAAGAAAGCAAAACAAAAAGCCAACAATAACACCAATAAACATGATCCGTTGCTAGCAACGAATCCTAGCAAGGATTTCATAAGCAGTCTGCAAATCATCCCAGTTCTATATTATCTCAAGCCTTCAAACTCCCATTAGCATGCTCAAAGCCATTAAGTCACAATCCCTATGCTTGCCTTCTGAAGCTTTCTAGGTCTTTATTTTAGCATGAGAGGAACCCTGTGCTGGAAATTCACTCCATTAAGTGGAAAGGCTACCAGCCCACTGACGATGTCTCCCTTGTCTTTAGTCATCCCAAACAGAACACCACCAATAACTGAAGCAGAGCCATCTACCCCGCGAATTACATCACATCCCACATTACCTGTTTCTCACATGGAATACATCAGTTGTGCCTCCTTTCTCTAGCACATTTTATACTTCCAGTTAGTCCTTTATTTTACATCACTCTTCCAGCTTAGTGAATAATTAGGCACCTTGCTGATGGCACTGCTGGGACACATCGCTTACATGGCAGGGTGTGAGGAGAGCTGGTTTGTAGAACCATGGAAACAGAACACTGAAGTTTGGAAGGGAATTCTAGACATCATCTGGTCAAACCCCCCGATCAAGCAGGACACCTACAGCATGTTGCCCAGGACCATGTCCAGTTGGGTTTTCATATCTCCAGAGGCAGAGGTTTTACACCCCCTGTTCCAGTGCTCAAGTCAGACAGACTCTCCTGTGTGTGTTTGTCCCCACTGCCTCTGGTCCTATCACCAGGCACCACTGAGAAAAGCTGGCTCTCTCCCCTTTGCACCCTTCCTTCAGGTATTTATGTACATTGATGAGACTGCTTCTGAGCCTAGATGACATAGAATCATAGAACAGTTTGGGCTGGAAAGGACCTTAAGATCATCCAGTTCCAACCCCCCTGCCATGTGGAGTTGAGCACAAGAAAGATTTCCAGGAGAGCTTAGAGGAGGATGTTTAATTAATGAGATTTTTTTAATGTCACAGGTACAGTTGTTCAATGCCAGATTATGAGAGATACATTCTTTGACTGGGAATATGCAGTACACTGTGGGACAAAGCGGAATATGTCTGCCATTAGGAACAAGCTATAGCTCATGTTTAATAAACAATAAGGTTTAAATCTGATATATATGAAATGCGGGGGGGAAAAAAGAATAAGCAACAAATACATATAAAGAAAGAGGTTAGAAAAGCCAGTATCATGAGCAAATCAGAGGCTGGTATCAGTTCACGTTTGGTTGGTACAGACAGACATCTTGCTCTTGTGCAGAGACACCCTAGTTTTACCAGGACGGTTTGTAAGTCTCTGACCATCAGACTTTTCATCTCTTTCATGGTTCTTCTATTATTCATCTTCCGTTGGCAAAAGCAAATTATAGTGGCTCTTTTTTCCCTTTAAGACAGATTCATCTAATTCTTTATCATCTGTCGTGCTGCCTGGTGAGCTACTCTTCTGTGGAAAGCCTCTTTCTCCTTCTCCTTCTTCATCCCTTATTCTTCCTTGTGGTTATTTTTAGATTTTTTTGGCTGTTAGTTTCAGGCTTTCTTTGCAAACACCAGTGTGTCCATCTCAGCCACTTCTAAAGGGAGCCTTTTCAGCCCTTCAGAAACTCAGACCATCTTAGTCTCACAAATACATTTAAAATGTGCCAAATAATTCACTCCCAAGAGCATCTTCTTGGCTCTTTTGTCTGTAGAGGAACTTCGAGAAGCGGTTAAGATGATAGAGAAATCTGTTATAGTTGTAGGAAGCACAGTGTGAAAACTCACAGCAAACGTCCAAAATGAGCAGTGCAGTGGGGTAAGTTTGGAGCCATTTGGAGCTTCATAAATCTTCGTAAAAAATAAAACTTACATTTGGAGTGATTCATAAATCCAGCATCTTGTACTGAAGGAAAAACCCCCTCACTTTGGTAACTTATTTGTACGAGAGGACGCCACAAGCCGCATTATCTCATTCTGAATCTTAACCTTATTGTTGGATACATTCAACTGTGCTTTCTTAAGAAGATCTTTGATGGCATCTCCTGGGAAGGACATTTGAAAGGTGGAAAACTGTTTTCTGTAATCTTCTATTTTACCTAGAAAATAGGTCAACAAAATATGTAAGTAAATGCCAAAGGGAAAACCACAGGATCATTCAAGAAAACTGCAAGATCTTTCAAGAAAAGCATTAATCATTGAACATCTGCAAGTTTCACATACAAATTCTTCACCATATTAGATCCTACCATAGCCAGTGAAGAGAGAGGAGGACATCAGTCACAGTCTGGAGGTACCTCTTTCAATATCTGTTTCATCAGGTGTCTGAGAGGGGGGGATACTGTTCCTCACCAATAACTATAAAGGGAAGCAGTGGTAAATATCCCAGGCTTGGATACTGTGGCTTCTAAATATAATGCCTCCCCAACAGCTCTTCAGTAGAAGGACCACAATTTAATCACACTGATTTACAGAACAAATCAAGAGTAGTGTAAAATCCTTATAGTTCAGGACATACATCTAGAGGGTGAGTACATTAATGCCTGTGCAAGCTTCTTCGTAGAGTCTGCCCTGCTCCTTCTCTTCTGTCTCCACTTGCAGCAGCAGCACTGAATAAAGGAGGACTCTAACATGCTTGGCACTGAATATATGTTGAGAATATGAAATGCAAATATACAGAGACAACGCTGCATACAGCCTCTTACCAGGACAATTCACGTTGTTGAAGAGTGGAAAGTGCATGACTGTGGGGCATGACTTGTCTCCTCGGAAGATGTAGCAATCAGAAGGGTTGTTCTCATCCATTTTCTGATCCTTTATACTGGGAAATGGGATGTGGTTCTCCTGGCAGTATGAAGCCGTTTTCTTGATAGTCTGACACACAGAGAAGTTGTGTAAGCATTTTGTCATTAGCTTTTTCTGAACCCCAAGAATAAATCAGTCCTATCTCCAGTAATAAAACAAATTGCTACAGAACAATTTCTTGGGCTATACATATTTGTAACGTATAGTTTATTTTAAAGTCTAAGTTTTCCACAAGAATTCTCTGAGGTACAGGCTAAGTCTAGAATATGAATGAAGACCAGGCACTCATTTCTGGGGTTGCTTCTAGCAGGAACCTTTGTTTAAGAAACTACAGCTACACCCAGCAAGGCAATGGGGCAGACACTGGAAGATGGTAAGATTAAAGGGATTTGGGGGCTATAAAATCATCTGGAGACATCACCAGGTTCCTCAACTTTCAGAACAAGTTTTATTTTCCAAAGCAACCCTTCCTGTTGCTCTATAGCTCTTACAAAATTCAACACTCCACCACTCCAGCAAAACTAAGAACTGCCTATGTCTCTTATGTCAATCTGACCATCAAAGGGAGACAACAACCTGTTTGATTTGAGGCACACATTAACTTTAACATTGGTTTGACTTTGCAGGAAAGCATTGACTGGGATAGGCTTTATGTTGGGAGTTTGCACAAAATGAGGTTCTGTGGTCTCCCTGAGCAGTATTATTCCCAACTGGTCAGGAGTTCAGAAGAAACAACCTTTGAGTCTTTTTCACTCTTCTCTGATGGGTTTGCAATAGTCTGCTTTAGATGGCACAAGGCCTGTGAACAGCAGCCACTTTATGTAAGCTTCCCAGAGTAAATGGCATATTACACGATTCATTCCAACAGCCCCTCCACAAAGAATGCACTTCACAGCAAAAGATGGGGTCTTAGGCATTAAGAACAGATTGGCCTCTCCCATAGACAGACTCCTAACTGATGCTTTGGCATTTCTGTCACCAAATTGCCTCAGGGCTTAGATTATACAGATTTATTACTTTTCCTTAAGCACTCTTGGGAAAAGGTGAAGTTGTAGCTCAAGACATGATGACTCTTGCAGTCACAAAAGACAAATGTTTCACAAGATCTTTCTGGAATGATACAAAACAGCAACAACATTTTGCAAGCCTAGCAAGTTCTTTTTTAACTCAAGCTCCTTAAACTCATCCCCTAGGCATGTATGTTTAAATGGAAGCAATTACAGAAACAGGATTGTACATGTACCCTCATTTGTAATGAAACTTGTTTATAAAAGGAAATTGAGTATATTAGGAGGAAAAAGCCTACACAAAGGGAAACTGGGCAAGATTCTTACAGATCCTGACACAAGACCTCCTCAAAGGCAAAGAGGAATTTTGCTGTAAATACTGCCTGTCAAAGAGTGTACCTCAAAAGGATCTCCAGAGCTGAAATCAAAGGAGATGATCAGATCTGCTTGCCGCTGGGCTCGAAGTACCAGAGGATAGGCAGAATTTATCGCCAGACCAGCATCAATCAAAGAGATGATTTTGTTTTCGACCAGGTAAGAGGGCTTCATGTTAGCTAATCCAATGAAAGAAAGCAATGAGATTTCGTAAAGACATATATACATATGTATAAAATATATACACACACATGACCAGCCCCCAAAATGTCTGTTGGTCTTCACTGATGATGCATCTCAAAAAGGTATTGAGACCCGCCTCTCCTTGCCTCTCCTGCCCAGCCAGATGTCTAGCTGTATTCTGGCAAGAGGAGTCCCCATCCTCCCAACCCACCTCTCTCTGACTGTGGTCAGTTGCAAATCAGAATTCCCAATGGGCTCTTTAAGGTCAGAACCTGGAACCATGCACCCATAG